TCCCAGGAATAATCCCAAGCACTAACTGTTCCCACGGCATCATCACATCCTTTTCTTGTAAAAGTTTGTTTCTATGCTTTCAGCTTCTCCTCTCCTGCCTCTCTTGCTTGTATTGACAGAGAGATTTGTGCTGCTGGGAATGAACCAGACCAGGGAACTGACCAGGACTGGCAAAACCAAAAAAAAGATCAAAATTATTTAAAATTAGTTTGTTTTCAGCCACCATATCATCATCTTGAATGCTGTTGTCTATGCAACTGATTGTTTATAAGGGTGGGGAGGTGGAGGTGCATATACTGGGGGAAGAGTGAGGCCAGCTCATGGCATCTTAACATGTGTGCAGAACTCCTGGCAAGGGGACTCATTACATACCCCACCCATGGGATGGGGTAAGCACAGCAGTGTTGGGTCTCTACACACTGGTGGCCTGGGGCTGGAACTTGAGCACAGCAACCAGAGGGAAAAGAGACATGCTCAAAATAGACCACATCCTTCATGAAACATTCATGAAAAGAAGAATAGTAACTTTTATTTTCAAATGCAAGCTGACCCATTTCTGAATCTCCGAAATACTGAGCTGGTATGCTAACCTTGGGCTGTTCTTCCTCTGTTAAACTGTGGATAGCTGAACTGAGACAAAGAGAAAAAAAAATTATGTTGTGTCCTAGATTGGAATGTTCTGATATTTTAAAGTCTCTAGGACATCCATATTATCTTCAAAGGAATTTCAACTGGATTCTAAACAAGTTAGCTTAACAAATATTCATACAGGAACAGTTTGAATGAATAATATCAGGGAAGTAATGCAGGTTCTCAAAGGTCTTGACTGCATATATGCATCTTATATACTAGGTGATTTTTTTTAAATGTTGTTTTTCCTTTAATAATATGACTAAACTTTCAACTTAGGTATTGACCAGTTTTAGGCAATTGGGTAGAGGTTCAGGTTGACCTGATTCATGCTGAGGCTTTAAACAGTGTTTGTACTTCCTGCTAAGAATGCCCTATAAAAGAAATCAATTTACAAAATTTGTGCTTAATTGAAAAAGGAGTACTAATACTAATGCGCTCTTCAAAAACATTTAGGATTTCTCTTAGCAAGGATTTGCCACCTGTCTTAATTTGCAGTCCTCCCACTCCTGTGTATGTGTAGAAAATCACTCATCCTCTTCCCTGTCCCTAAGAGTGACATACAAAGGCAGAAATACCATCAGTAATTTGCAGATAGACAACAAAAGAAACTGGAGTGTGTCTGATGCTGGTTTTTGTGTTTCTCTTTCCGTGATCGTCTCATCGTGATGCCATCCAAAAGGGAATTCAGGGCTCTAGTGATTGAGATGGTGTTGGCCACCGATATGTCCTGTCACTTCCAGCAAATCAAAGCCATGAAGAATGCTTTGCAACAGCCAGAAGGGTGAGTCACTTCACAACACTGTGCACTGAGGGGCTGCACTTCAGCTGGTGCTTTGCCATTGTTTTTGACTTGAAAAGCACCTCTCCAGATGCCCTCACTCTCTTTGATGTCCACATCAATTCTTTTTCTGATGTTGAGTTTTGAATGATTTCACTTAGGAGTGGACTGGCACCCCCTTATACACACATCTCTATTCTGTGCTGGTGGACCAAAGCCTGCAAAGGTCATATTGTTGGGATAAGCCTCCCTGGGGATTTCCCTTTGCATATCAGGTTAACATCAAGGACACAATCCAGCTGAGTGACCTCTACTGCTTAAGTATGACCCAGGGTTATAATATTCTGCAGAACAGGAGTTACACATTGCCCTTCTGCAGATAGTATCAGCTGCCACCTCTGCAAGGGGCCTGCTCCATAACCAGAGGACAGATGAGGACAACTTGAGATCCACTGAGGGAAGGGCTAGAAGAGAACAGATGGGGCAATATAGGGAAGGCCTGTTCTTCCCAGTATGCCACTGGGAGCTGTAATATTTTGTCCACAGCTCTTCCCCATAAAATTCCTTTTATACTGCAGAAAGCTCTGAGTGATGGTCATTTTTTCACCCTGGACACAGGTCTGTCCAGAGCCTCCCAGAATTATACCTGTATCAGACCAGAGTGTGCTTAGCCACTTGGTCCTCTCAGAAGCAACAACTCTCCCAGCTATTTCAGACAGTCAAAAGCTGGAATTAAAAACCAAGACTACGCATCCCAAGAAAGCATTATGTACTAGGTTCTTGGGCTAGCCTCTCAGGTTATGGTTTTAAAAAGTTGCCAGCCTTTTTTGTTCTGTGGAACAAAATGCAAGGATCACCTTCTGACCTCACACTAGTTTTCTAACAGTGAAACATTTATCATTTACTGTGTAGACTTACCAGCATCCCTGAGATCAGATCCTAACTGTTTACTACAGTAAGATGGTAGGGACCAATTTCTCTTCTGAGCTGCATAAAATGCAACCCAGCTGAAATAGGGAACACAGTAGTTCTTCAAGCCCACTTGTGCAGACAAGCAAGCCTGGAAAGGAGCTCAGCAAGGCTGAGCAAAGTTTCTTTTTGCACTTCTTAATGTCTCTGTTACAACAGGAATGGTGTATGTTGGAGAAATTAGGCAATCTTTCATAGTTGTCTGATTTTATGAACACAGAAATCATTGCATCATTTCCCTGCTTAGGTGAGATTTTTGTCATTCTCCACTGCAAGAGCAGGCCATTAATTTGTTTGATCCTTTGGGTTTTCAGAATTGACAAGCCGAAAGCCTTATCACTGTTGTTGCATACAGCAGATATCAGTCATCCAGCCAAGGCCTGGGATCTCCATCATCGCTGGACCATGTCTCTGCTAGAGGAGTTCTTCAGACAGGTAAAGTTAGGGAAGTTCCTCTGCATTTCTGCAGCACAGAGGGAGTGTGTAGGATTGGGCAAGGAAGTAGGAAAATGTGAACACAGATCTTTTCCTCCTTCTCTGATTTTCTCAAGAACCTCCTAAATGATCGAAGCTTTCTCAGCTGGCACCAGTAGCACTGGCTATTACGCGTCTTGCGAAGTTAGTGTCTGATACACTGCCTATAGATATAGAAGTTATCTACATAGTAGAAATTCTAATTTGGGAAGCTAATATGTGTTTCAAATTACCAAAGAATAGAATATGTGATGTTCTACTTAGTTGTAGAACCATAGAAAACAGATTTAGGTAGCTGTACTTTATAGAACTGTACTTATATTGTTGGGGTAGATATGAAAAATGCATTACCCTTACTTTAAATTAACTGATCCAGTTTATAACTCGCAGTGGACTGCCTGTTGACAGACCTACAAATCTAGACAAATCATTAAGCTCTGTGTGATTGCTATAAGCTCCCCAAGTGACTAATTAAAAGCATTTAAAGAGCTGCCATAAAAAAAAAGTAAAAGTAAACAGAACACTTAGGAGTATTTAGGCTATTTTTCACCAATATGAATTACTAAACTAAGCAGAAAACCAAGGGCTTAATTTCCCTCCAAAGTTCAATAACTTAATGTTTTATAGTAAATCTGAACGCAAAAAAGAAAAATACATGACAATTTTTGAAAAGTTCTAACATATTTTAAAATGGCATCTGTTTTTAAAGGCATTGTGGGGATCCCTTCTTAATAAGGACATTGTGAGAATTTGCTTTGAAATGAATTCTTTAATTTGCTTTTCAAACTAAGAATGGGTTTACTGGGTGGAAGCAGGTCAGTCATACCTGCAATTGGCTCTGTGTTGCCACACAGGAGGCTCATGCAAGTAGGATGATTGTCACGTGCATTTTAGGGAAAACTCTGTACATGTTTATGCTTCTCTAGCTCAAAATTATACTAGATGTTTCAAAATACACCACTTCTGACTCTCCTAAAGACTTTGAGGTAACTAAGATTAGCTAGATACGAGACCACAAAATCCCATGTTTTGGTCTGTTTTACATGTGTAAAGAAGACAGAAGTAGTATTTTTTGTTTTCAGAAGAATAATTTCATTTCAGTCAACAAATCCTACTTTAGTTTTGAATGACAAATGTCTCCACTTTTAGATAAATCTTTATATAAAACTTGTAATCTAGTTCCAAATTCAGATGTAGTGTTAATTCCATCTTCAGGAAACCCCTTAAGCTTACCATGAAGCATAGACTTGCATGCACTGAAGTTATTTAGTACTAGATCATTAAATACATCCCTACCTGACAGCAGGTAAACAACACACCCTCTTCTCACCAGCTGAGAAGTACCACTAGCCAGAGAGGACCATGGTGATAAGAAACTGGGCTGGCCTCACATGAGGTATTTTTTTCCTTATTCTCTTCACCTGCAGACCCTCTCCTGTTCTTTCTGTTACATGCTCTCCAGAGACATAAAGCCTGAGTTAACCTACATCAATCAGTATAGGTCCCCAGCCCTATTGGTTTCAAAGTATTATGTGATGTGACACAGGTCTTCCTACACCAAGTTACCATGCTGTAGGTGTGAATGATGCTTCTGTGTACAATACTGTTTTTTTTTAAAATTCATCAGGTATGGTGATCACTTCTTAAAACAAACATCTGGCACGAATTAATTTGTTTTACTAATGCACTTTAGCTAACCATGAGGGAGGTGCCCAAGCAGCTTAGAAGAAGTCAACTATCTTTCTGAGCAGTCAGAAAGGCAGCTAGGGGTTCCTTCCTGAAGAGGCACTGGGGTTTTTAAGAGGCATAAGGAGTAAGAGAAGAATGATGGAGAAAGTAGGAGCTGGCATTGAGGGATGTTTTTCCTGAGAGATGCAGCAGACACAGTAAAGGAATGTTACTTGGAAATGTTTCTGTGTTTGGTTTCTGTTTTGCCCTGATACTTGTGTATCAGGCTCCTAACATAAAGCAGAATTGTTCTGCAACAGAATACTATTGCTTGTTGTTCCACTCAAAACTCTTAACAGGACTGGTGCCCCCATTTCATGTATGTTATATTAACAAAAAGAAGAAGAATTCAGCTCTTCTTATGTCTACAGAAGTTTTTCTCTGATTAGTTTGCTGGCTCTTTTAGCTTCCATTTGACATTAGAACACTGGCAAAAAGTTCAGCGCAGTTAAAGGGAGCTGCTGATTTAAGTCATTGATTCTATAGTATAGTTAACAGGCTGTTTAAATTTGAATGCTCAGTGGGGAGTATTGCAACTATGTCAGCCTATATATCTTCTAAGCATAAAGCAATATGTTATAGAGTGACTGAACCAAGTTAAAGGGCTTTTGAGAATATGCAGCTTGAAAGACTGGGGGAAAAATGGGGTTATAACACTTGATCTTCTGCACAATCTTGTGACGTTAGAAAAGGACTTTCAGTCCCAAAGGCTAGAAAGCGTGTTTGGACTTTTGTACTTAAGCACTTATGTAAAATGTTGACAATGTCAGTGTGTACTTTGGAAGAAAAAAGTAATCTGCATCTGGCCAGCCATGACCTGTGAATTCCTTATCTGAATGACTAAAAAAGACACGCAAAGAAGTGCAAGCTCTGAAAAATCGGTCCTGACAATGATGTTTTCTCTTGAAAGGTTTGCTCTGAGAACTGAGTTCTGCTGGGTTCTCTGGAGAGCTGTAGTGAGAAACATTCTTGTGCTCAAGTGGATTTTTAGTTGAAGCATAGAAGTACCAAGCAGGCAGGGAAAGCTCTGAGGAAAGATTCACTGAAATCAGGATGCTTAATTCACCAACTTCTGCTTGGACTACAAGTTTTCCAGTCAGACTCAAATTCTCCATAATTTGTGTTTAAAAAAAAAAAAAGAAAAAGAAAAAAAAAAACCCAAAACTTAATTAAAGAAAGTAAAATGCGAGGCTTTTACAGTCGCGACCTAAGATACCAGTGCAACATGTCTTGTCTTTTTCTAATTTCTTCTCAATTTTGTTTCTCCAGGGTGACAAAGAAGCAGAACTAGGGCTTCCTTTCTCTCCACTGTGTGATCGCAAGTCTACTATGGTTGCTCAGTCTCAAATAGGTATGTCCCTTTTGGTGCGTACAAAGTAGCGTCTTAAAAGCAAAACTTACTCCTCCCTGTGGGGCTAAGATCATGGTGATCTCTCATCATATGGAACTATGTTAAAGAGAGGAAATAAAGCACAATGGTGTTATTTTCCTCAGATCAACAATTCAAAGCTGATGAGCCATTAAATTTATGGTGGTGGTTCCATGCAGTAACCAAGTTACCTCTGATGTGACTGTAGTGCCTGATTATGACACTACTCCACGGTTTTCTGAGCTGTGAAGATGAGGCGCACACGTCAACATGTTGTGATATGAGTATCATTGGTGCATATGAAAATGTCAGTCCCTTTGATGACCTGGACAAAACCTATTGTGTGTTTTTCCATTTATTCCTCCCAGTGCTTCAAGCCAACCAGTATTTTTCACTGAAGCCAAGCAAATAGCAAACCTTTTTCTGCTCCACCAACTCAGAAACAAAGATCTTTTTACAGACTCGCCATCAGCACTTTCTCTACCTCTTCTCCAGTTATTGAATGAAAAAGTAGGAGAAGGATGAGGCAACAAGCCTGGTATTTGGTGAGAAAAGAAGAGGAGTTAAGTGAAGTAAAACAGTTCAGGAGGCTGGGAGCAGAAAAGGACAACGGAAAAGGTAGATTTGTGGGTGGATTTGCAAGTGAAGTAGACAGAAGAATGTGATCTAACCTCGACTGGAGAATAGGGTGCCAAATGGAATAACAAAAGAAAGATGACACGGACCTTAAAAATGAGGGAACTGAGTCCAGAAGCAGAAAGAGACAGAATGTATTAAAGGAAAACAAACCAAAAATTTGAAGTATGAAATTTCTCTCAAAGAACAAGATAAAGATATCCCTGAACCTAGGAAAGTTCAGATTCATATCTGTGGCTAAGAGCCGTTTCTGTTTAAAATTACTTCATTGTTCCTGTTAGGTAAGCCATTCTCTGAGGGACCCTATCGCAGATTTTTCTGGCTTTGGAAGTTTAGACAGTTCAGCCAAGAATCTGAACTTGAAAAGCCCTATGCAAGCCTGGCCTGCTTGCTAGACTTGTAGTGTTCATTCCTCTGCAACCCTGAAGAGTGGGAACGTGCGTAGAGCGCAGTGCAGCTGCTGAGGACATTTGTGTTCTGCCAACAGCTTAGTGGAGGGAAGAAGCAGCAATCTTGAAGTGCTGCAGGCTCAGCAAAAACCAATGTTGAGGACTCCTGGGAAGACTACACCTACTGCTGTGCTGTGGGAGAAAAACTCCCTCTGGCTGGTGTGGAGGGTAGTGCATGTGGACACTTCTCTTTCATATCCTTTCTATCAGCTTTCAGATATGTCCCTCACTCCTTACAGGGAAGAGGAGTTGGGCTTCCCACAGGGTCCCTCTACATAGAGTTGTGTATGCCTGGAAACCAATTTTCCTTGTCCTTCTCTTTTGTGCTCCTTTGCTCAGGAAGGCCAGGAGAGCCAAGAGATTTCTGCACCGATGCCCCTTGTATCAGTCCACTGCAAAATTAATCATGAATTAAACCATCACCAACACAATTCCACCTTATGAAAGAGGCACTCATCAGCATGCAAAGGCAGCCTTATTTGTCCTATAGTATTTGTCATTATATTTGATGTGTACCGTTTAGTAATCCATTGACATTAATAGGCTACTCTAGAAATCTTGCCTTCTAACATTATAAAAATTTCATTTCTCAGTCTGCTGCACATATTGGCAATGTCTTTCTGTAACGTCTCCTTTGTTAAATCAAAACCTCTTATATTTTCTGGCTATCTGCTGAGGTAAGGCTTTCAAAGTTGTAGACTAGATTTTCAGACAAATAATCTGTTTCCATTCATTTATTTACCTGATTAATAGCCTTAACAAATTGTTCCTTGGAATAGTAATAACTGCATTTCTTTGCAAAAGTAAGTTCTTATTGAATTCCAAATTGTGCTATTATCTGCAGCAAGCAGCCATCAGTTCCCACAAATAAAAAAACCTCTGTCTTTTGTGAAATAAAAATGTGCTCTTGGTTCTGTCAGGGACAGAGTCTAGAAATCCTGTTCTGGTGGCTCAGCTTGTTTGTAGTTGCTGGTTTGCTGCTCTAAGGTCACTGCAGATGCAACAACAGTGGGCAAGCATTTTTATTAATGAGAGATTTTCACAAATGCAGGCTGAAGGTTTTGCAGTACGGACTTTTTGATGGAAATGAAGCAATCTAACAGCAAAAACTTCCTCAAAAGAATGTCTCTCCTGTTGCTTCAGTTTGTGTAGAAATTGTTCAGAGTGTAAATTGGTAATTAAAAAAACCTGAGTATCAAACAATGAACCTGAGTTTTAAAAACTATTAATGTTAATGCTAATGACCAATTTATCGTCCCTTTTTTTTTTTCTTCAACTGAACGAGTGTGGTAAATATTTCTGTACCACAGTGAAGTACAGAAATCAGGAGAGATTCATGTCCAGAAGTCAGGCTGCTTATCAGAGTGGGGGAGACAAACTGCAAAGAGAACCAGGCCAAGACTTGTATTTCCCAACAAGAATATCAGGAGTTAAAGCCTCTCAGACTGTCTCAGACTGTAGGAAGCTTGTTTGACTGCTGGAGATCAGCCTTTGTTGTCAGTGTCCTCTTTTGCAGCTGATAAATGTAGCAGCATCATTTTATTTTTGTCCTTTGACTGCCAAGGAAGAAAATTACAGCTTCAGAAAACATTGGATAAAGGCCGATGGGTTCATGCTGATGATTTTTTTTTTTTTTTTTTTTTTTGGTGGTGGGCTTTAGGGAAAGGCAGTGTTTACCGTGGTGACGTTCTCAGATGGAATGAATGAATACTAGGCATGTGCCTGGAATCCACCCTCAGCATGCAGTGTTAATTGGTAAAATCATCTTAGTCACTGGGGTACAGAAATATTTACCACGCTCATTCTACTGAAGAAGAAAATGGATGATAAAATGGTCATTAGCATTAATAGGTTTTAAAACCCAGGTTCATTATTTGATATTCAGGGGTTTTAATTAGCAAATTAAATCACCATACTTAAATCACAGTGTCTTTAGGTAAGAAGAGAGAGAATATGGGGCAGGGGAGGCACTTGGGAATATGGCATAAGTTACATAATTATTAATAAAGTCCTAAGTTTTGTTTCTACAGCAGCAGATTATGTTTCCCAACTTTATTATAATCCCCATTTTAAGGTAAAATAGTTAAATAACTTATTCATGTTATAGGGAATAGAGGAAAAAATACCGCTTATCAAAGAAAAGTTCCCCTAGGCCTTTGAGTTTGTTTACCTGTGGTCCATTGTGCCACCTCTGCCTGTCTTTGTTGATTAGATGCTAGACTTTTCCCAGGCCAAACTTGTTTCTTAGATGCTTACAGCTGGACCTTGTGTTTATGTGCAAATGTTGAGTATCTCAGGAAGTGGATCCCACCACCCCACTGCTGAAGTTAGTGACACAGTCATGTGTCTGATATCACAGATTTGCATGTCTCAGGGCTAGTGGCGATGGAACAAATGGCAGTGGTATTGCTTGCCAAGCAGAAGTGACGAGGTACCATGTCTTGGGTTTCTTTGGTCATTAAGAGGTAAAAATTTTTTGAGTGAAGAGACATATAGACAAGCAGACACACACACACATATGTAAATCAAGTTCTCATTATCCTGGGGATTCCTGTGGCACACTTAACATTGTTCTCAGTCAGTACAATTTCCAGGTTTGAAAAAATTGTGTGAAGTTCGCTGGGATTAGCTGGGTTGTGATCTAGTACACAATTTCCTGTTGTGGCTTTATAGTGCGTACATTTCTGATTAACTCCCTGGGAAGAAGGAGGTTCTTTTTTTTCCCTAGATTTGCATAGATAAGACTGTCTTGGTGTTATGGAGGCACATGATTCGGATGTTCAGATAAGACTGAATGCATATTTTCTCCAGATTTACAGAATGTTAGTATGAAATTCTGAGAACTTGCAAATAATGTTTTTAATTTGGCAAGGCATGAAAATACACTTAATTACCCATCCTTTTAGAAATTTAGCAAAAAGCAAGAGAGGGAAATTGAACTAGAAGGGTGTTCAACTGCCTTGCACTCAAGATATGGATCAAAGCAGCTGTGAATTCAGCTGCCTAGCCCATGCAGTCTTTTCTCCTTTTACTGTTATCACCTAGAATCGCCAGGATCTGTCATAGAAACATATCATGACCCAGTCAGAGAAATTATACTATTATGAATGTATAATTAATAGTTGATAATTACCAAATCTTTAAAAGTTGTAACAGTGGGGAAAGACCTCAATCCTGATGTGCCTTAGGAAGGATTAAGGACATCGTTGTTTTCTTGGCTACCTGCAGCAGTAAGAAATTTGCTAAGTGAAGTGCTAAAATGAACATAAGAAATAGCCCTTGCCCCAGGTGAGAATTTAGGGGAAGCTGTAAGGTACTGTAAGCTCCTCACTCTCACATTTTTTCCGTGCAACTTGGATTTTCCTTCATCTCATGAGTTTGTGGCCACAGGGCCCTTCAGTCTGCCTTTCCCAACATTCAGATCAGAGCCGTATTCATCTCTGCCAGACTGTGTACTGAAGTAGAAATTATTTGGCCCTTTATTTTTTTTCCTTTCCTTATATTAAAAAATGTGGGGGAAAGCATCTAAATTGTTTTTTTATCAACAAGAACAAGCTGGTTGAGCACTGGAGAGAATATTCTCAGTAACCCACTGACATGCAGTAAGGGAAGTTTGCACGTAACTCCACGCCAGCAAAGCTTACCAGTATTATTACCGTTATATTTATTTTCTGCTTTTAAAGAGTTCATCTTTGAAACTGGGTTTTATACAGATCTGCTAGGAATTTGGCTTAAATATCACACTCCTTATATAACACAAGTTCTGATGCATCTGTTTATGTTCTGATTTGCCACAGTTTCTTTCCAGTGTTTAATTAGGTACCTTTTATTGCATGCTATATCCAAGCTCTTGGGTCAGGGATTAATGTGTAACTCCATTTTCCCTTTCTAGTACTTGCCTATCCCTCTTTCAAGGTATGATTTTTTTACTCTTTTACAGTGTGGTTATCTGCAATCACTGAAGCAGTGAATCCACATAAATCCTCCTCTTGCCTGCTTGACTCTGCTTGTGTTTCTGCTCAGGTTTCATTGATTTCATCGTGGAACCCACTTTTACTGTGCTGACTGACATGACTGAGAAGATTGTGACTCCGCTCATTGATGAAGCTTCCCGCTCTGGCATGTCTGGGTTCAGGCGTTCCAGGTGAATAACCATGTGCCCTCTCCCTTTATTCTACACATGCTGCCATTGTGCCCAACTCCCCCAATTTGCCCCCACAGTAATAGGTCTTCCATGTCACTTAAAGCTCCATATCCACATTTCTGACACTGCAGTTCACCTTGTGATGCAACTTTGTTGCAGGGAAACTCCATCCCTGGGAGGGCAAAGAGGGAGGCTGGCACCAGCCTGAGCATGCCTCCAAAGGCAGTGAGCACAAATGGTTGTAGCCATGCAGTCAGGTGAACTTTAGTGCTCTCAGTCATTAATGTCAAAGAGACGGTAGAGGAAGTCGTTGGGAGGCACTCATTTCTTCATGTCTAGAAGTATAAATGGGATTGAAATACAAAAAAGTACTGGGAAGTATAAACACACTTTAGTGACGCTATTTAGAGTTACACAGATGTGTGAAGTATCCGCCAGAATTCACCTGGACTTCAGGTGTAAGGAGTCTTGGCTCATTCAACCTGTTCCACTACTGCAGAGAAACTACTCTTCTGGTAGTTTCATGGACAGGGCGTGTCTTGGGATTCAAATTCCACATGGCTAGTGCTCCCTAGAGTAGGGCTACCAAGTCAGGATTCCTTCTCCCAGGTGACTTGGGAGACTTTACTCTTGGGCTGTTACACAAAGAGCAAGCACTAGTATCTTTCTATGTCAGTTATCTTGCTGCCTTTATTAAATGTGCATAATGAAGTGTCCATCTTTGAAAGACTATAGGGTCTATAAGTGAAATGAGTGCCTGATTTCAGCCTCAGCTGAGGTCACCAAGCCCTGGACAAAGGTTGGCCTCCTGTCCTGTGCCTAATGGCTCCCACTGGTGAATTTTAGGAGGCTCCTTCTTTGACATATTTGATTTCTAGAATTGTCTGACACTCCCATGAATATTTAGGGTGTGAAGATGCACAACAAAGGTAATGGCAACCTTTGACTGATTCTATTTCTTAGGGACTATGGATACCAAAAAATAAGCAGAGAAAAGCTGCCCTTTATTTCTAATACTGGCTCAGGTTGTGCTGTTTGCTTTAACATTGATTGCCCTGGGATGGGAGGGAGGGAAGGATGAGGGATGCAAGCTTAGTTTTTGTTTTTCCTGGTTGACTCTGTTAAGTTATCTAGACTTCCAGTCATTATTTCTTCTTAGCTGTATTTGGGTGTATGGGATACTGATTTCTTCTGTGTTTTGTGATCTTGTGTCCCAGTCTGAATAGCATTAGTCCCTCTGAAGTTAAAAGATCAAGTGTCAAGAGCACTGGGTCAGAAGGAAGTGCCTCACTCAACTGCTCCATACTCACTGTGGACTTCAAATCTTTTAAAGCCACCTGGACTGAGGTGGTGCAGCAGAACCGGGAGAAATGGAAAGCGCAAGCCACCAAAGGTAACAGCCAGGCTTCTTAGTGAAAGAATAAAAATTCTTTTGACCTCTTCTTCAAACTCTTCTTCAATCAAATTATTCTCCAAGTAAGCACTGTTAGTTTGAAAGAATCTGCTTTTCAAGGTCAACAACCTACACTGAGTTCAGAAAGATAGGAATATTGTGACTCATCTGTGCCTTATACTCTTCTTTCATGATGTAAGTGTACATAATGAAGAGGATATGGACAATGGGAGGAAAAAAATAATTGTAAGGGAGGTCCCCTAAAGTCATGAGTCAGATTCAAGATGGGTGCAAAAATAGCTGGAACAGCATTTGTAGAGATAGGTTATCAATTATTTGCTGTTAAGATTGAAAGAGTATGATAGTTCAGGAGAGAAGGACAGGATATTCTGGGTTCACAGCTGGTTTCATATTTCTCGTGATAACTTGGATAACGAACTGTGAACTATGCTGCGAATGGTCATGGTGGTGTGAATCTGGGAGGGCCTGCAAATATTTCAAAAGAATATGAAGGCTGTGTTGTTTGCAAGTTGACCAGAGTTCAATATTGTCATGCTATCAAAAAAAACCCAAAACCAACCCAAAACCCAAACCCAAACCAAACAAAAAACCCCAGACCTTGCTTCTAAGACCCCTCTGGCATTCTTCCAGTCGTTCCAGCAGTAACAAGGCCCCTACAGCAGTGATGGTTTGGCCACTGCAGTTCAGGAAACATCCGGACCAGTTGTAGGCAATACAGACTACAGCAATGCAAGTGATGACAAATGTTGTTTATAGCTGAAAGCAGTTTTCTGAAGGCTACTGCAGCTGCAAAATAAGGAAACTATTTTTTATTTTTTTTATTCAAAGAACCTGGGCTGTTAAGAGAAGAAAAAAATTGCAGGTGATTATAACCTGATAATAGGTTAGACATTGGCAAATCTATTGTTAGAGATCTTTTGGAACTGAGAGCCATCTGTTGAGAAGACTTAGGTATACCTGCCCCTTGCCTCCAGGGGCTGGATAATTGCCCAAGGTCTCCTTGAGCCCTGGGGTGATACAGGAACCAAAAAAAGAGGAATGTATCACTAATTTTTTATTTTTTTTTCTTCATGAAACTGTTTGTGATACAATTTCTTCTCTGAGCTGCATGCTTGTTACTCAAACCCTGATTTAATGGAGTTGCTGTATTTCATGTAAATGGAAGGAGCTTGATTTTAATGTATTATGTGGCCTTGGCTTCAGGGCTGATGGAAGATTTGGCGTAGTTCTCCTATTTGCCTGAGCAGATTGTTCCTCTCCAACTGAAAGGCCTGTCTAAAGGTGCAGGAAAGGATGCATTATTATTCAAATTAAATTTTCCTTTGTATTTAAAACTTGCCATTCAGGAAGAGCCTTTCTAGGCATTCTATGAAAATGAAAAAAGAAACGTAATTCAAAATCTGTTTAATTGCCAGGGGCTTTTTTTAGCTTTTTTTTTTTTTTTTTAATTGGTATTTACTATTTCACAGTTCTTTGTGGACCAAACAAATTACAGCTAACTAAACAAGCAAAGCATTTAATACAGTGAGTGTCTCACAGTATAGGAGTGTTGAGTGAATGAAGCCAATACAGTTAACTAGTTTTAAGGATTTCTTTTCAACATGTACCATACATATTTACTTGTCTACTAAGGATCTACTAGATAAAAATCCTATATGCAAGAGAGACCTAGGGGGAAATAAATAAAACATATCTTACATTTCACCTAAAACAAATATAAAGAGTAGATCATAATAGATTCTGGATATTTAACTTTTAAATGTGCTTTTTACCCACTTGCAGTGACTGCTTTGCATAAATACTTTTTTCTAAATATGCACATGTAAATGTCACGTTATGATTCAAGTGGATGTGCACACATTGCTTAACTCATGCTGCTACTGGTAATATGTATTGATGCAGTATTTCATATCCTTTCTTTATAGAGTATCCTGACCATAAGGGTTTGGTTATTCATATTTTAGCTGGAGAGGAAAATGTTTTATTTTTAATTGCCTCATTAAAAAAATGGTTCTATCAGCTTGTGAGGGTAGTCTATGGAAGAATCAGCTGATCACTTGAAAGCAGAGAGCTCACCAGTCTGCATTATTAGATGCATGTATGCTCGAGTAGGTCATTTTATCTTTACTTTTCTGACAACCTATAGCCCTGAATAGTTGATTTACTTATGGTTTTGCCAAACTTCATCTCCAATAACTTGCATCAGGGCCCCAATTTCTGGATCAAAGATTCAGAAAGCAGTCTTAGCTTCTGTTCATCTGAATTCATTGACTTTCACATAATTTCTGTGTTTCTGGGTGCATTTAGCAATACAAGCATGCATCTGTTTTTATCCTGAAAGATTTATACAAACGTATTGCTCAGCATGCCTTTGTATGGGCTGGGCACTAAGGAACTCTTCTTGGACTCCAGAGCTCTCGCTTCAAAACCTTTGCTCAGCTGCTGTCTTGCTCCTGACTTGCAGCAAGTGTCTGCACCGCCCCCTCCATCTGCCTTGCCTGTCTTAGCCATATGCAGCAGGGCCTGCCGCACAGCAGTTTAAATTGCTGACCCCCATCAAACCGGTGTCTTGCAATGCATCACGATTCTCTGCCAAAAAAATAAGAATTATTGAGAGAAGACAGATAAAACATTTAACTGTTGATTGACAACAAATAGCAACTGGGGATCAGAAGGGAAGGAAACCCATCTACTATTACTATTACTAATTTATTTGTAGAATACTGTATTTCCTTTGGTAATAGCATTGTCCCTAGAAGCATTAGTGAGCTGTTTTTATCCTGAGTGTGGTATTTATAGAAAATTTCTCTGCCTGTGTGGGCAAAGTAAGTGGGTTTATTACTGATCTCTTTTTGCTTAAAGGATCATTAAATAGCTACAAATTAAAAAAACACCAACAGAAAACAATGAACAGAACAACTACTGAATAAACAAACACCCTGATATGCAAAGCACCATTCAGATAAATTATTTTTTGACACTAATTTTGACAAAAGGCACTTGTCCAATGGTGCTGTAGCAAGCCCAGTTCTCCTGAGCCAAATTTCTCTCCAGGGAAAATATCAACATGCATAGCTGAGCTATCTATGAAAGCTACCATAGATTTCAGGAATTATTAATAAAGTGAGGGAGGCTCATATCTAATTTAATTATATTTTCATGTGAGCCATAATTTATTAATTTAAAAATTAACTTGCATTAGCTGCTAGCAGGGAAATACAGATTGGTATTTCTTATAAAGATGGCTTTTCCGCTTTCTCTCTTGTATCCCATTGGTACATTTTTCTCAAAACTGCTTCTGAATCACTCATAAAAAGTATTTAACAAGACACTTAGAAATTCTTTTGTAATTTTTACTCACTGGCCAAGACCCTGCTCCTTTAAGAAACAAAACATCTTCCCTATAGATGTCAAGAATACTTCCATAGGACGGAAGTAGACTTTATTCAGTGTTTTGTGGGATCTGCCCTCTGCTCATCAGCTTACACAGTCTCTCAGAAAACAAGAGATACATCTGTGATTTCTGTAACAATTAAAGTGTAATTGGTTGCCCACAATGGGGTAATGAGCGGGCTGGGATATTGCCAACCCAGAAATCTTGAATATAGGCACAGGGCAGTCACATCTGAATGCTTAGACTCAGTATGGGTATAGACATGCTCTGAAGCTGCATAAGCTCACAGGTTCCAAATTGAGTGTGTGTTGAGCTACTCAGCTGCTTGTCCAGATTAAGTCTCTATTGATCATGGAAAAGGGGGAGGAAATTCTGGAGTTTCTGCCTAGAGTCTGTGCACACCCAGCCATGTTTATTAGCTTGAGGGCTGCGCTGAGGGACTGTGGTTGTATCCTGCTTTCCAGTGTGACGCAGGAAGCCACACAGAGCCTTTGCAGCTGAGTCTGTAGGGGTGTGCTGTACCCAACCTGGGCTAGAAGCGTGGTGGTCTCAACATCTAGAGCCAAAGTAGTTTGCAGCTTGTCTTATGAGTAAGTGTTACATCAGGACATAGAGTTTGAATAAGAACAAGAGCAGTATCTTGAATTGGTGAAATTGGCTTCTCTGTGATTTTTTTTTTTTCCCTGAATGACAATATTTTGAGATGCTGCTGTTGTTTAACACTCACTTTTGAGTTTATATCTTTGCATATTTGTGATTGACTATAAGACTTTTCAGGATGGAAGCACAAGTACTAGTAGCAATATATTAGTCTGCCAAGAAAGGACAGAGCTGTAAAGAAAGGATAACAGTAAGTGGAAGGGAAGAGATTAGGAACCTAGTATTGGAAGCAATCTGGAACAAGAGGAAAAGAAGGTAGATATCAAAGAACCAAGACTTTTTATGTGATTAGAGTCACATGGTACAGTATGAGATAAACAGAATGTCATTTGTCTGATTGTTGTGTGTCAAAAATTAAACTAACCTTGGCACCTCTAGAGACTTCAATAGCTAATTTATCTTTTTAATTTGCCTTTTAAGAATTTTGAGGAACTGCATTTTCAAAGGTGAACTTTATGCGGTAAAAAAAGCACATGCACATAATATACATTTAGGCCAACATGGGGTGTTTTTTTCAGAATACTTTCTTAAATGTTCTCTTGTGCTCTTTTCCCCTTGTCAAGTCAATTCCTACATTTATCTAAGCAAAAGCTGTTTGCATGTAAAAAGCTGAAGGAGATATAGATGTGTGAGTTGTATCATTCTTGTCAAATTGACTGATAATCGTGATTTCTTTCCTCATTTTGCTTCTCTCTTTGCTGAGGATGCAGAAGAAAAAGCTAAGAAAGAAGCAGAGGAAAATGCTCATCAGGGAACAGATGAAAAGAAAACAGATGAAAAGGATGAGAAGAAGCCAGCTGAAGATGCCACAGCAGCAAAGACAGAGAACAGTAAAGAACCAAATCCTGGGGAAAACAAAAACACAGATTCCAATAAGAATCATGTAAATGGGACTCGACAAACTGGGGTGAACAAACATGAAGCCTCACAAGGGAAAAATGCGCCTAGGACAGATAAGGGAACAGACTCTCATCATGCAGTGGGAGAAGAGAAACAGAATGTCCAGAATGGTGAGTTCTCTCCTTCCACTGAAACGTAAATCTAGCCCTAAAACCACTATCTCACCTCAGTGATGGAGGAACCGGATACCCTGATAAATGATGTCCTGGGCCCAGAGCCTCGTCCTGGACATTGACATAGTCACCTGCATATAGAAATTGGAAACTGTAAATTAACTCCCAAGTAGTGTTCTTCCATAAAAGATGGGATTCATCATACCTGCTTGGGCACTTTTGGAGGAAAGGAAAAAATTACTTCTCTAATGGAAATGAAGCAGCCTGTTAAGATACATAGGCTGAAAAGCACAAACAAATATTCTTGGTTCAATTAACAGCTTCATTGCTTGAGTAACTTACAGAGGAGAAGCCAAAAGTTGGCTTATAAACTCTTTTTAAGGCCAATTAAAGGTATCTTTGAACTGAGTCTCAGATATAAACATGTTTTGGGACACAGGATTTTTCTACCCTCTCTGTTTTTAAGAGTTACTTTATTTATGATTCCTTTGCTCAGCTTTTTATTGGGGTAGTCATGAGCCTTTTTTTGGAGATTTTTTTTTTGTCAGAAATTTTATTCCAGTGTTTTAACTTGCTATAGAACTGAGTTAAAATAAGAATCACATTTTGCACCCAAAAAAGGTAGAAAAATATTTGAAAAATGCATTTAACATTGAGAGGCTGAGAGAACTGGGTCTGTTTAGCCTGGAGAAGAGAAGACTGAGAGGGGATCTGATCAATACTTATAAATATCTAAAGGGTGGTCGTCAAGAGGATGGGTCAGACTCTTTCAGTCATGCCCAGCAGCAGGACAAGGGACAACAGGCACAAACTGGAACATGGGAAGCTCCATCTGAATATAAGGAAAAACTTCTTCACTTTGAGGGTGACAGACCACTGGAACAGGCTGCCCAGAGAGGTTGTGGAGTCTGCTTCTCTGGAGATATTCAAAACCCACCTGGATGTGATCCTGTGCAGGCTGCTGTAGGTGATCCTGCTTTAGCTGGGGGGGGGTGGGTGGACTAGATGATCTCCAGAGGTCTCTTCCAACCCCTACCATGCTGTGATTAAAAAAAATTATTAGAGCCATGAGAACAGATCAGTTGTCCCTTGGCCATTTCACTGTCCTTCCCTCCCCAGCTCCTGCTCCCTGAAGCCGTTATCAAAAAATGGCAGTACAGCCACATGTGACATGTCACAAACTTGGCTAGAATCAGCCAGTCCAGAAACAGCAAAAACTCAGACTCAGAAGCATCCTCTTAGAAAAAGCCTGAGTGAGCATACAGGTTTTGAAAGTCCAAGGCTCAGGCAGTGAGTTTCAATGGTGGCAGGGGCAGAAATTCTGTTTAAACCATTCCTGATATGATTCTCATGTAGTTCACTTGGCTGCTGGCCTTTCCCACTGATCCCTTCATCATTAGGGGTTTTTTAGATTGGAAGGACTATGGGGATCTGAGCTGTCATGCTCTGTTACATATGACCAGCAGGTCAAGGGAGGTGATCCTGCCCCTCTACTCCGCTCTTGTGAGACCCCACCTGGAGTACTGCGTCCAGCTCTGGGGGCCCCAGTACAGGAGAGACATGGAGCTATTGGAGCGAGTCCAGAGGAGGGCCATGAAGCTGATCAGAGGGCTGGAGCACCTCTCCTATGAGGACAGGCTGAGAGAGGTGGGATTGTTCAGCCTGGAGAAAAGAAGGCTCTGGGGAGATCTAATTGCGGCTTACCAGTACCTGAAGGGGCCTGCAGGAAAGATGGTGAGGGACTGTTTATCAGGGAGTGTAGTGACAGGACAAGGGGTAATGGGTTTAAGCTGAAGGAGGGTCGATTTAGATTAGATATTAGGAAGAAATTCTTTACTGTGAGAGTGGTGAGGCACTGGAACAGGTTTCCCAGAGAGGTTGTGGATGGCCCATCCCTGGAAGGGTTCAAGGCCAGGTTGGATGGGGCTTTGGACTATGTGGTCTAGTGGGGGGTGTCCCTACCTGTAGCAAGGGGGTTAGAACTAGATGATCTTTGAGGTCCCTTCCAACCCAAACCATTCTATGATTCTGTGATTCTGTGGTGGCATTTGTCTTGAGACAGTGTTATGCAGGTGAACAGCAATGGGCCCCGAAGGAGACAAAAAGGTTGGGGACATATGAAATCCCAGTTAGACTGCATCAACCTTATCTTCTGAAATCCTTTGTTTTACATGCTTCTAACAATAAGGAAGTTAAGTGTGTTCTAGTGATTTTGACAGTACCTTTTTCTGCAGTGTCTCTCTGCTGCAGGTGTCAAAAATGTTTTGAAAGGAATTATAATGATTTCTGAAAATTAGTGTCTTCCTCAGGAAAAGAAATTCTGCTCCTTAATTTATGGGAAAAGGCCTTTATGAGGTACAATCACTGCAGAGTCTTTGGAGACTGATAAAATCTTAACATTCATATCTCTGGGTTCACCACAGCTTTATGCCAATATGTTAATATCTCATCATAAAGTATTTGCCTTATTATTTCTCTGCCTTTGTAATCCCTTTCAAAAAGATCATTATGATCATCATTCTGCTCTGCTGCTGGCAGTATGGCAGGGTAGATATTACAATACTCAGAAGTCCCCTATTCACAATAAGTTATATTCAATGAAAGTTCAGAAATGGTGTTGTCAGATGAGTTTGAAGTCTCTCTCCCCGTCACTTGCTGCCCGTGTACTTTCTCAGAGAGATCAAACTGTGAAGTAACATATGTGTGGGTGTTCATCATCTTTTCCTGCACGCACTTAGGGTCAAGCAACTTCTTTATGCAATAGTCAAATAAAGCATTATTAGCTCATCATTACCATCAACTGTATGATGGTGGAGGAAATGCAAGAAGACTTTTGTGCTTTGCTAGATACGTTTTCATTTAATTTCCTGAAGACAGTCTCCTCCTTTTAGTGGACACCTTCGTCAAAAGGTATCAACCCTCAACCCTGCTTGGAGCTGCTCATATCTCTTTGTTCAAGGACTCCAAGTCAGTGGCAGTGTGATCAGCTGAGGAGGTTGCTGCTTGTCCTGTATCATCTTACCTTCCTTTTTCTCTCACCCACACCACGAGCTTAGGAAGAAAAACATGAAAAGTTTTGGCTCGGAATGAGAACTGAACAGGACGTGTTTTTTCCATCTTGTTAAGTATTTTAAGATTTGAAAACCATGCCTCTTTTATACTATGATGAAACTTAATTGGAGAGATCCTCTGTCATCCAAGAATAACAAATATTCTAGTGGTTAGGGCACGGTGTAGAAGAGGGACACCTTGCTTCTCTACAATTTCTCTTTTTTTGAGCTGTTCCAAAAATAAGTATCCGCTGGCCATGACTATTTTGAAGACAGATCAGATCCTCTTTAACACATAATACCTATAATCTTGATCCAGAGGCTGTGAAGTCGTTATAGTAACAAAAATGGTAATACAAATGGAATAAACATTACTTTAATACAGCCCTGTAACATATCTCACACTTACAAAATTTTCAAGTGAGAATTTGCAGCTTTTTGTGTTGAGGTATAGGTCACAAATTCACAGCTACTCCTCCGGGGTGATAGGACAAGCTGCCTGCTCCCATCTGGGTGGGCTGCTGTGGCTTTCTCTGGATATCTGGAGGAAGGACACCTTCTTTGCTGCTGCTTAGACACTGCAGCTGAAAGAGCCGTGTTCTGCTAGAGCTCTCCCTATAAGTTATTTTTTATTTGAATTTGCATTTGGCATTCTGATTCAATGAACGGATGGTCTGGGAAGGTCTAATGTGCTCTGCTGTATGACTAATAGAGGACATAAAATGAGAATGACTCTGGTTAACCTCCCTGGCTTCGTAAAATACACCCCAGCTCAAGTTACCATTTTCATTCTGCATCAACTGTTGCTCTGCCAAAGGCCTTGCTTTCTTGGTTTGCTATAGAGAGTCTCAAGCCAGTTATCAATGCTAGGATGATTGTTTGCTTCCTGATACCGTCATCAAAGGACCAACCCAAATGAATCTGTGGATAAAGGAACCTGGTAAGAAAAAGTAAGACAAAATTATATAGGACTGTTTGAGATATCTAAGGTGGTTCTTTATACAGAGACTTATGATGAAATCTTGCAGAGTCTTCGTCCTTTAAAAGCATAAAACGTTTCAGAGTCCTGATTTTGAAATTAACGTTGTGCTCAGGTTTTTAATGGCCTACATACAGCCAGAGGGAATATGAGTTCACATGTGCACTTTAAAAGGTGTTAACAATTAGAATAAATTTAAAAATATATCATAAAGCTTGATTTTCTGTAGGAGTTGGATAAATTTTGTCTGGTACTTTATTCTATAAAAATACGTTAATCCAGTTTCTTATGAAGTCAGCCCTTTTCTCCTAAGAAACATCTCCTTTGGATGTTGCAACTAGATTGAGTTACAGGCATTAATAAACTGCAGTCTGCATTTAAATGCTTACAGTGTTTCTTATTGCTTCTTTCTAGGTGAATTAAAGGAAGACAATAAGTTGGACAAAAAAGATCAGTCCAGTGTGGGAGATGAATCAAAGAAAACAGATGGTAAGGACAACATTTTATTACATTTTGTCACGCATTTTTATATGCAATCTATTGTTTCCTAAGCATCTGCAATTTATTGTGAAACCAAAAAATTGTGTGGTAACCAGAAACAGACTTAACAGAAACAGTCATTAGACTTGACAAAAGCCATTGGGGCATTCTGGGGGAAAATCATCCCTTTCACATAATGCCTAGCACCACTTGGCTGTTCTGTTGGTAAGCCTTAGCCATCAATTTTTGTGCAGTGCCTGGAAGAAAAATCCTAGATTATTAGAGTTGCTTAATAGGAAATGTGGATTTGTGAGGTTCTATCCTTCTAACTTTCTTTGGGCCGTATTCTGCTCTCTGTTAGGAGAGGCTGCATGGGAGATGCAAAAAACAGAGCTAAGAAAAAACCTGCACAAAGTGTCCCTGTTTTTCATGATTGCACTTTCTATTATGTCAATACAAACACAGCTTTCTTGACTTAATTGTCTGAGAGGGAATTTGCCAAGCCCTGTTGAACCACAGATGTGGGAAGCAAGCAGGAGTGACCACATCAGCATAGAGGTCTGTTGAGGATGCTATAGAAAAAGGATGTTGCAGAAATATTGTTGAACTGAAGCAATCCCATGCCATAGGACAGTTTCTTGGGCATCTGGGAATAATTTCAAACAAATCTGAGCCTAGTATAGTGGTCCACAGATGTTTTAGTAGCCCCAGAAAAACTGGAAAAACAGCTGTAAGGTCTATGGCATGTTTACTCTTCTGCACCTCCCCAGCTGTGTACCACAGGGCTCTGAGATAGTTGCTCCAAAAGCAATTGCTGAAGTATTAGGTAGCAAAATAAACAGAAACAAATGTTTGAGCTAACATTTTCTTTGTGTACCTCTCAGTGAAATCCACTGAAACACAACTATTCTTCAGTGTAAATAGTACAGTACTTTGTTCTGATGGTCAAGACAGACAACCTCATTGTAAGTACTGCAGTTTAGAATGATACCATGTTTTCTTTTATTTCTTCCTTTTAAGAAATTACTTAAAATTTCTATTGATTTAACAAAGTGATAAGAAGAAAATGCGGTACCTCAACTAAAAATGTAGAAAAATTCATCTAGAAGTATGTATTAATTTTAGACACATAAATAGGTACCTTAAAACATAAAAACATAAATTTCAGACACATAAAAAGGGCCCTTAGCAACAATTGTTTAGGAAAATTCAGTTATTTTTTTAAGATGTCATATTTTGTTAAAGATTTTTATTATGTTAAGATTTTGTTAAGATGTCATATTATTTACACACTTGAGTTGTCTGTCAGGAAAACAGTCTTGAACAAGTACCATTCACAACTCTTTCTGTGGTCATGCAGAAATTAAGCACAAATACTCAAATAACATGTGACTCTTCAGATGTTCAGATATGTGCAGTGCTGTATGTAACTATCAAGACCCCAGAAGAATTAATGAACAGAATGCCTACTCTCCCCACTGCGATGGGTGATGGCTGAGGAGCAGCTGTACTGGAAGGCTGCAAGCCTGGCAGGAGTAGGTGGACGCAGAAAGACTGTGGCTTCTTTAGAAGGATTCAGAAGCATCAGCCCAGCAAAGAGAGTAGACCTGGGAATCACTAACTTTGAGGACTAGGTTACATTTGAAGGCCTGCACTTGCAAGGTCTCAGAAAGATTGGGGGCACTTATTTAGTTGGGCTGGAGGACCAAGAAATAATGTTTCATACTGACTTGAAGAGTGAGAGTGTGAATTTAGTTCCTTGCAAGTAGCTAGCCTTTGTGTGGTGTTGGTTATTTAATGTCTATCTGTTCTCCTATAAGAAAATGTTATACTCATCCCCTTAGGAAAAGACCAATACCATGGGACCAGTTGATTACAGTGAATAAGCAACTGTCACCGGGCAAAGACCATTTGTAGGCTGAGTGTTTTTCATTCAGATGCTGAAGAGACAGATTATAGATAACGATCTCATTGATAGAAATCAGGAGAAAAATTATCAATGATGCACCTTAGAAAAGGAAAGTGCTAGGGTGGCACTTCTGTTTTGACAAATACTGCACAACCTGTTCTGTCCATTACTCAACGCTAGAGCAAATCTCCTTACCAGCCATGTGAGGGATGTGGAGAAAAAAATGTTATCCATGGATAATACATAGCTGTTTGCAGACTACTGAAATGTTTACCCAAACATATGCTTTCTCACGTGCCAGTACACAGTCTTTCACGTGCTGGAAAAAAAGATTAAGCGGGGGAGTTAGAAAGATTGAGATTACAGCTATAATGCACTCACCACACGTAGTTTGCTAGTGAGCAAAACTCAGCCTGGTCTTTTTGGGTTTTACAGCCTCTGTTCAGTATGTAGCTGGGGTGTATTTCTATTAAACAGGTGCCCATTTGTGTAGATTTACCATGAGGGCTTCAGCTTTGTCACCACCAGCCATTAGCATCAGCTAGAGCCCTGCACCCAGCTGAGGTGAGTCTGATACCCTGTCCTACTGCACAGGGTATCACCTGCACCCAGAGAAGAAAGCTGTAGAGTATATGTTGCATAAATCTTTGCAGGAACTCTGTCCAATTTGCTTTTTGAGCATACACAAAGGAAGTTATTGTAATATCTTGTTATAGGAATACATACATACGAAAATGTTTCTAATACTTTTGTCCTTCTAGTACATCAGGAACCAAGTGACCAGGGACACATAGAATAACTATCCCATGTGGACAGGAGGACATAGAAGCTGCATGTCTATGCTGTAGTCACAGGTGTGAAATGTGGCTTCTATGTCAGAGTTACCTTGAAGCTACCCAAAAACAGTTAAGTGGGCATGCCTCCAGAAACAGGTATCAGCCTTGCTGAGACAGTGAGGAACTGCGTATGTATCTAGCCAGAGCTTCATGCGACTGCGTCTATCTGTACCAAACTCAACTACTTCAAAGCTAGCCTGAGGATGGCTATGCAAACTGCGGTCATGCCTTAGATTTCTGTCTTAACTGCTTCAGAATCCTGTGCAAGTCTCTTGAATGTAGGCTAGTCTCCTTCTCACGTTGATCTAATCTTCATATTATTGGCCTTTTCTGTGGGAGATACTGCTTGTTACTCAGTACTGCCCTTTTTTTTTCAGTTCCAAGAAAAGAGATATGGGGCTGCCATTTCCCACATAAAGACACAGCCCTATCAGAGACATCATCAGCACAAGTAGTTCATCAAGTATTTCCTATGGGATAGAACATTATTAAACCATTTTGGAAAAATCTGATTTTCCCATGTGAAATAGTTGCTTTTCAACACTTTGAATGGAAAATTGTAAGCAGTCACATGGAAGTAATTTTTATCTACATTCACAAACTTTCTTTTTTGCAATTTTTTTCTGCTCACAAAACTGACAACAAATGAGAAAACTAGTCTTTCCCATTTCAGACTAGATATAAGGAAGACATTTTTTACAGTGAGGGTGGTGAAACACTGGAACAGTTTGCCCAGAGAGGTTGTAGATGCCCCATCCCTGGAAACATTCAAGGTCAAGTTGGACAGGGCTCTGAGAAGCCTGATCTGGTTGAAGATGGCCCTGCTCATTGCAGGGGGATTGGACTAAATGACCTTTAAAGCTCCCTTCCAACCTAACTATTCTATGATTATCACTCTCACAGGTTATCTCTACCACCTCCTTATTTTTCTCCTGCTGGGAAAAGATTCTGCAATGTTAATACAAAATTTTCTGTGCAACTTTTTGTTCTGGGGACCAAAATGTAGTTTATTATTCTCTTTCAGCTAGCAATTACAGACAAATAGAAGGTTCTTTTTTTGTGTTTGTCCTGAAACTTATTATTCTAGTGATTACATGCACATTTGCAGGTTATAACACAGAAATACACAGGATGTAATATCCTGAACAGCCAGTACATAGAGAGAAAACCTAATGCGCCCTGGGTATGTGTGATAAGCAATACTCCCACCTCGTGGTCAAATCGTAACTCTGCGTTTTGACAGGTCATCGTTTCAGTAATGCATTCCTCTATGCAGTGCAACAGAATAGAATAGAATACAGTTAATATAGTATAGTTAATATATAGCCTTTTAAATAGCCTTTTAAATGTGCAGACTCTATGAAGAGTTCATAACAAGCTTACCAGAAATTGAGGTTTTAGCTTGCTTTATTTTTTGATAAGCTATACTGTTGCTTAACAGTAGTTAAAAACCTTTCCTATATGTTGTATACATTGCCCATGCCAACATGCAAAGCTTCCTTTTGGTCTTAATTTTTCTTGGCAATCATTCCTTGAACCCCAAGTGGAAAATTCCCTGATTATAAAGGTAAAGTAAAGGGGTTTCATATCTTTCTGTCCCTGTTGTCCCCAAAAATCAAGTGGTAGAGTAGGTGGCACAGAATTTTGTTACCTGAGAATGCCTTTGGTATAGGAACATGGTGGTGTGAAGGAGCCATGATGATGGCTCCACAATTATCCCAGACAGAGTTCAATTAACAGGATTCTTCCCAGCTTCATTTTAGGAGAATGCAGCTTTCCGCAAAGCTGTTCAACCATTTAAGAACTGTCTGTCTTTGCAGCCTTCTGCAGATGTGGTTTTCATGTGTGTCAATCTAGCCAAGACCACTACGTAACAATGAACACTAAGCAAACTTCCTCTGACAAAACCCTGCTCATGTAATCTGCTTAATGCCAACGCTGTTTTAAAAGAGGTTACTCAAGTGTATAAATGAACAGCATTTGTCTATATCTTCTTGAGAGAGGTAAAATGGTAAATTTCAGGTCATCTAAATAATGGTGCCATTTCTATTTCTGTTCCAAAAGATAGGCTGATTTCTCCATTATTGTCAGAAGCAAAAAGCCCATTTCAGTTTTTGTAAGGCAAACACATTAGATTCCTCCTTGCTGCTTGATAGTGCTCTTGATATTATATGTCAGAATCCAGCAGCAGTGTCAAAGTGGAATTGCAGTGGTCTAAGAACTACTTCTAAGGATAATTTCCTTCCTTTTCTTACTTCTTTTTA